CTGTATAATGCAACTTATTGAGTTGCTGCACCCCAGTCTTATAGACTCTGTGTGAAACCTGTGGATGCATTGAAGTGTAACGTGCAAACCTACACGAGGGTAGATATTGTTGTTTTACACCAGCAGTGGATGATCTAATGCTCAAATCTGTTTATTTTTCTGCAGGAGTCTGAGATCATCGACTTCTTCCTGGGTTCAGGTCTGAAGGATGAGGTGCTCAAGATCATGCCTGTCCAGAAGCAGACCAGGGCTGGTCAGCGCACCAGGTTCAAGGCCTTCGTTGCCATTGGCGACTACAACGGTCACGTGGGTCTGGGGGTGAAGTGCTCCAAAGAGGTGGCCACTGCCATCCGCGGGGCCATCATCCTGGCCAAGCTGTCCATTGTCCCTGTCAGGAGGGGTTATTGGGGTAACAAGATCGGCAAGCCCCACACCGTGCCCTGCAAGGTGACCGGACGCTGCGGCTCTGTCCTGGTGCGTCTCATCCCTGCCCCCCGCGGTACTGGCATTGTGTCCGCCCCTGTGCCCAAGAAGCTGCTCATGATGGCCGGTATCGACGATTGCTACACCTCCGCCAGGGGCTGCACCGCCACCCTCGGCAACTTTGGTGAGATTGTCTTTTGTTTACGGTTCCAGGTCTCTTATCTGCATTTTCTCCTTGCTCTGCTCAGCTTCACCTCTGCTGTGGTGTAGTTGTCGTAATCCGGAGAGAAAGAAACGAGTACTGTAATGCACGGCAGAAAGACGGTGTTGGTGGTCTCTTCTGTTCCCCTTTTCAGTACTCAACATTTTTTCCACAAAAAAAACAGATTGCAGCACTGTTAATGTTCTTGGAGCTTCGTCTTTTTAATATCTACTCATTTATTTCCTCATCAGCCAAGGCCACCTTTGACGCCATCTCCAAGACTTACAGCTACCTGACCCCTGATCTGTGGAAGGAGACTGTCTTCACCAAGTCTCCCTACCAGGTACAGTACACAGCCCAGACTTCATTTGTCGGGATTTTTAACATGCAAGGTTCATGTATTAAAGATTTTCTACTTTGTTCTCATTCCAGGAGTTCACCGACCATCTGGCCAAGACTCACACCAGGGTGTCAGTGCAGAGGGGACAGCCCGTCCAGGCACCTCCTTCCTAAAGTTTTTATACAGAGAATTGTTGAATAAACGTTCTGAAACATCATGTAATGTCTCTGCTGGTTACTTTTTGTTGAACTCATGACAGAACAGAGGTGTTGATTAATATTAAGGACCTACAAAGCACAGTCATTACATAATTTAGAGTTATCAGAGCCGTGAAATGTCGGTAACTAGTTTTGTTTTAGAGTGAGCATGACTAGGTCCTAAAATGTTTGACACTTAAAACTGTTTGAATAAGTTGTATAAAGTTAAATTTTTAGTGTGAAAACATACAATATATAAACACATTTTCATTTGTTTTTGGTAAACCGTTTTAATAATGGGTCTACAAAATAAAACTGACAGGTAATGTGCGGATTTTTCTTAATATCCTTGTACTTATTTATTATTTGATCTGTAGAAACCCGGTTAGAATTCCTTTATGATTGATACAGAAATTGGAGGAAGTAAAACTGACAGAAATATTTTAAGTATATATAAGTTGACAGCAAGTTGGGACAGCAAAATCATTTAGCAAAAATCAGTCCCCTCACAGTATATCTGAGGGAGGATTGATTAAATCAGGTCATGTATCAAAGTAGAAAACTATTTACCCTTTATGGTATGTGGTTGTTCACAATACCCCAAAAGAGGAGCTTATTGTGTATTTTTGTTGTAACCAGTAATGTAAATAACAAATCCCCAACAGGTTTGCACTGTTAGTTACTTGTACTTTCTGTAATCAGCCTACAGTTACAGATTACTGATGCATTCAAAGATA